TTTAGATTAAAAGATATCACGATTTTCCGACGCCAGGACGTGATATCTTTCAAAATCGATAAAAAGCGAAATTACTCTGAAATGGTTGAGAATCGGACCATGGACAATATGAACTTTTTTGTTCATTTTAGGGTGAAGAATCTACTGGAGAAGTTTGTAGCACGAATAGCAATTCACCCTGTATATATATTCTCGAATCATATATATTCGCTTGGTTTAATTGGTTCAAATTCAATCATTCACAAAAATTTATTCTATTCTATTCTAAATACAAATGTTATGAAAATTGTTCAAATATTTAGTACATTCAATCATGGAATAATTTTATACAGTCCAGTTTCTGACTGTAAAAATAAAAACGAAAAATATTGTAATTCAAAAAACGGTATTTCCCCCTTTCTTCTTATACCTTCAAAGGGTATTCAGTCAAATCAGGGTTTTTATTTAAAAAAAAATTGAAGTCCTTTGGAAATAACAAGTACGAAAATAGTAGTCAAATCAATTTCAGCGGAACACCAGGTTGTAAAGAAAAGCTGTGTCCTTTGTTCGGCAAAAAATATTATTAAAAACAAATCAATAAAGCTTTAATTTGATTTCAACTTTTAGACGACATAAATAAATATTATTAACAGGTTTTCCGAGACGGGTAATCGATTGAGGGTATAAGGTCGGGCAACCCTCACTTTTCAGTTACAATTTATGAATATTTCGGAAAGATAAATCCGTTCGCGATCTTTTGGCATAAATAGTTTGAGAGCAATTGTGCCTCGTGCGATTATTCACATAAAGAACCTACATGGAAACTGGGTACATATGAATAACAAGTTCCTCCTTCGTCAAAGTTTGATCTTAATAATCAATTAAAGTTTTTAGTTGAGATAAAAAGTCAATGGCACGAGCGGGATTCGAACCCACGATCTTCGGCCTGATACGCCGCTGCTCTACCACTTGAGCTATCGTGACCTCGATCCACTCGGACACCAACTTCCCTTCTCGACCGCACCTTTTGAATTTTCCCTCCTTTTTGCCATTTTTCAAATGTCGTGTAATCGGGTTGGATTCTCGACGACAAATGAAATTGCCACGGAGAGCTTTTGTGAAGTATGTTTCATTTTTAATCATTAAATTCACTAATTTCGTGGTCCGCTTGAACAATTAATATATTACAATCAATTAAGGTTTTTAGTTGAGATAAAAAAGTCAATGGCACGAGCGGGATTCGGACCCACGATCTTCGGCTAATTGATTGTAATATATTAACTGGTCAAGCGGACCACGAAATTAGTGAATTTTTGATCTTAATCGGAATTTTCGGCGGTTCCAGCTTTTTTGGTTTTTAGCAGGACAGGCTGAAATTTATGGAATGACAACGAGAATGAGACTTGCAATCTCACATTATGCCCAGAATCAATTTCTTCTGATTGAACAGCTCACGGTGACTTTGCCTTTGACTAACAATCGTCTTAAAACCGTCAGATTTTGTAAGAACATGTTAAAATTGGCCCGGAAAATCAAAGAAAGACTAATAATCTTTCGAAATAGCTGAAACGATGCGGGGACCCTTATGTCGATCCCGAAATCATTTCGATTTCAGACCCTCGTGGGAGGTAAGTGAGAGTCCGCAATGTCACGCTTTGTCGATGTAGACACAGTGGCTTGTCAACAGTGCACCTTGGCTAACCATCACTTACCGTCGTCACGATGGATGAACAACATTATCTTTAAAAAATGCATCTTTCAAGTTTAGGTAATGAATGATCAAATCCGACGCAAATGTGTTTGAAAAGATTGAATCAGGCAACACCCAACGGTGTGGTCTTCAAAAGCGTTCAGAAGTAAAATTACTTTTTTTATTCATTCGTCAAGGAAGATACGTGACCACGCCGGTGGGATTGTTATTGTCGCCTTCCTCGTGATATACACATTAATCCGTGAATTGTAGCAAATCCGGTGTAAACTGAAAGAAACTCGACTTAAAATTTAACGAGGTTCAAGGTTGGCGAAAAATTGAAAATCGCTTGGAATTAAAAAAAAAAGATAACGTTATCGATATCTGTGAGTAATTTGGTGCGATGAAATAATACTTTGATACATAGATTAAAAAATGGGATCAAAATTTGCCGTTTCCCCCCACCTCCGACCACAAAAAATGCGAGTAATCGAATTTTCTCTGGTTGTTGTTTTTATTCGTATTGTTAGTCAGTTCCACACTAAAACGGGTTTTATCAGGTGCCTGGTTAATTATTATTTAAATTATTCGAATTTTTGTACATCTGGGATATTTTTAAAGCTTTCTGTGACTAGTAGAACCAATTTTTTACATGAATTTGGGTCATCTCAGGGTTTCGAATTGTCAGTTTTCTAAACACAGTAAGTAACAAAAGTGATCATATTGTCCAACATTTTGGACAGAACATTTCTGTATTTTCCTTTTAAAACTCTTACATTCAAGGTTTTTAAGAAACCTCACATCCCTTTAGGACTTTTTGTGCCCTAAAGTAACAAACAGAAGTTTAGCGTTTTTTAAACATTCCATAAGGAACCCAACTTCGTACATGGTTTTGATGAGCTCTCTATGACAAGAACTTATCCAACTAAACTGCCAACAGCTTTAGATTTTCAAATACGTCTATTTTTTATTTTTTATTGCGTTAGTGCTATACATTTGCATTTATTTGCGTTCAACAGTAATTAAATTTAGTTTTTTAGTTTTTTTAAGTGTTAGTTCACTTTCCTCACTAGGGAGGAAATCGCTGTAGGAAAGGTTTCGAGGACAAATTGGATTTGTTTGTATATGAGAACAATGAAGTTTGATATAAAGTACGTTGTTTGGGCAAGAAAGGATTTTGGACTGGAGAGAGCTCTGGAGGATGGAACGCTTGGCCGATCTCCATTCTATATTTCCTGATTATAGTGGTGATGTGTAGTTGAGCTATCGTTTTTTGTTCTTTTGAGACGAGTGTACCGTGTATGTCTTTTATCAATGTAAAGTACGAATAACGGACATTGGTTGTCGGGAGAGTGGTTGCAGATTCAATATAGGGTAAAGGTTATTTGCTAGGATTGGTCTCGTTGAGTCTGATCCGCTGTTTCCTGAAACATTCTTCTGGCTCTGGAGGTTTCTGAAGGCCACTACTAGCCAAAGAACCATGGAGGGTGAATGATGTAGTCAGGATATGTTAGGTAAAGGAGGTACTGGATCCATGAATCAGAATTTGAGAGCACAGTGTCGCTGGGAAAGAAGTAACGAGTGTAGAGGGTCTAGTCAGGATATCTAAGGTGTAGAAGAGTTGCAGGATTTGGCCCCAAGATTAAAATCATACGATAGCATCTCGGTCTCGTTCTCGAAGGAAGCTTGGAAGGTGCAGAGTGCAGTAGGATATCTGAGGTCGAACGGTTGAGGGATTGGACCGAGCACACTGCCCTGTGGCACTCCCACTCCCAGAGTGTTGGGGTTTATTTCTGTACACAACAATTATGGACATGTTATTGTACTTATCTTTTTAATTTAACTTGTGCTGATCTGTTATTCCTGTAGTAGGCCAGTATCTACGTAAGCTACCTATTCATAGCACTCTGCCCAGCGCAAACATATATTTCCTTCACTGCAGTTTGCTACTTTTTGGTCCCGTTTCATTTTGGGTCTGCCTTGCTTTCTTTCAAATCCAACAGGACGCCATTCCAAAACCTTCCTTCGACAATCTTTCGTGTGGATATCTAATCACTTTGATAATGTGCCCTTATCCTCCCGTTACGTTACATTTATATATTGTTTTCACTTTATTATTTAACACATATTTATTTATAATATTAATGCTTTTCTGTTTTTTTTATTACCAAGCTACTCTGTTATACTAACTATTAACTTTCGCTTTGCTTTGTTGTTTTTTTTCAGAGGATGAAATTCTTCACCCTTGTGATTGGATTCTTAATTTCGGAAATTGGATTAACTCAACAGCACTTGAGGGTCGGAGGAGCCGTTAACCTTTTTGGAAGATTCGGCTACTTGAGCATCTCGATGAGGGTCGTCCCGAGGAACGATTCGGACGGGAAATGGGTGTTTCGCGAGCCGATGCTAGACGTCTTCAAGTCTCTGCCTACGACAAAGCGGTAATTCAATCGACTTTGAGATCTCCATAATAGGTCGAACCGTCGGTCCTCATGACAAATTGCGAGTAAAGAAACGTTTCTGTTGGCTTTTGTCCGGGTCTCGAATCACAACAGAGATCGGCTGAAGTTCTTGAGTGGTCGACTTCCTGCCGGTCCTGAGACGACGAAGAAAGTCGACAAATTTTAAAAAATCTCGGGTAAAGGGCATGTTTCTTCCATTTAGGCAGAATTAATACTAGACAATTCCATAGGTGCAGTTTTAGTCTTTTCGTCCCCAGTTACGGGTACACAGCATTATAACTCTGCTATCATCTAATCCCGAACTTTAGCCTTTAGCTCTTCTACACACCTCAGATAGACAATGACCAATCAATCCAGTGCTTTATTTACCTTTCTTGCTTCCTTTGCTGACTACACAGCGGTGCTACCCTATGCTATGATCCTGGGACATATCCTTTAGCTCCTCTAATAACTCTGTTCTAACTACCAAATTTATCGCCTGGAATATATCTTCTTCTTTGAACGTATAATAAACAGGCGAGTCCTAGTATGTCTCAACGCAGCACTTTCGCTTTATTGGGCGAGGCAATCTCACCGTATAATCTGGTCTGTAAAACTAGTTTTAATCTGCTTTCCATATGCACACCTCATTTGTCAACTAGGTCATTGTGTTATTAAGTCTCATTCGTTTCATGAAAAATGGGAAATTTGACGGAAGTATTTTACAATACCAACTTGAACACAGTGCCTAGACTGCTGAGTCGATCATCCGGATTTACAGCAGTGCGGTGCTGGACAATAGATTTCTAATGTCTTGATGTTCAGTCTTCAAACCTTCAACGTCAGAAGCAGAAATCTTACGACAAAATCGTTTTTACATTACATCACGATGCTTTTTTGATACATTTTTGGGGTCAAATATTTTCGTATCATAATTAGATGTGTCTACTGCCAATAACAATTATTGGTTCATCCCGTTTTTTTTATAAAATCGATGAGAAAACCAGATGCAATAATCAAGTTTTCGACGTGGTATAATTAAGATTCACTTAGCGTAGCGATATGATTGCCTATTCATACATAATTGGACCAACTGCGACTCACATCGAAGGCGAAGCCGGGATCGAGCCGAGAAGCGTAGGGTGTAATAAAATTACAGGGTCACTAATGAACTATTTGTCCACTTTCCGCGCTATTTAGAAATTCTATGCAATCTCAAATAATAATCATAATAATTAGACACTGTTTATACCAAATCCGAATCGTATCTACAACGAAAAGCCCATAGTTTGTAAATGTTTCATTCAATTCTACTTAAAATCCATTATTGCAGTTTTCCCTTGGCGCTACATTCTAGCGTTTTTTATTCATTGTTAGCCTAAATATTATAAACAGGAACGAAATGGTGTGATTGCTTTAAGTTTGATCTGATGGCGCGTCAAAAACATTCATTAACTCACGTCTGAGGTTTTCAAAGATTTTTATTTACAGATTTAAGGATTAATTTGAAATTAGAAAGAGTAATTTGAATTGAGAAAGGTTTAATTTAAAGTTTAAATAATAACTTGAAACTAAAAAGCGTTATTTTGAAATTAAAAAAGTTAATGTGCATTTTAAAAAAATCATTTTAAGTTAAAAATGGTTAATTTGAAATCAAAAACTTGGTTAATTTGAAATTAAAAGACAGTTCAATTCAAAGTAAAAAGAAAACGGATCAATTTGATATTAGCCGTTAGCATCTGAAATTAAAACGGGTGAAATTTAAAAGTAAAAAGAGTTCGTTTCAAATTAAAAGCTGGTTCATTTGACATTAACCATTAAAAATTGAAATTAAATGTGTTAATGCGAAATTAAAAGGTTTAATTTGATAGAAAAAAGATTAATTCGGAGTTAATAAGAGCTAAATTCAACTTAAAAAGGTTCACTTGAAATGAAAAATGTAAATTTGTCATCAAAAAATGGTTAAGTTGAAATTAAAAAGTGTTAATTTAGAGTTAAAAAATATAATTTTAAGTGAAAAATTGTTAATATGAAATGATAACGTGTTATTTTGAAATTAAAAAAATTAATATTAAATTTACATTTTGATGATTGATTTGCATTTTGAAAAAGGTCATTTTAAGATAAAAATGTTTAATTTGAAATCAAAAAGTGGGTTAATTTGAAATTAAAATACAGTTCAATTCAAAGTAAAAAGAAAACTGATCAATTTGATAATAACCATTAACATTTGAAATTACAACGGGTTAAATTAAAAGAGTTAATTTCAAATTAAAAAGACAACTGATCAATTTGATATTAACTATTAACATCTGAAATTAAAACGGGTTAATTTGAAATTTAAAAGATTTATTTGAAATTAGAAAGGTTAATTTGAAATGATAAATGGTTAATTAGGAGTTAAAAATGGTTAATTAGGCAGGGAAAACTGCGGCTGAAGAAAAGAGAGAAGGGAAAGAGATGCAGAGAAAGGTTGTTCGATGTCTCCCATATAAAGCGTGTCATTCTGTGTCTCCATATAGAAAGCATGTAGGAATGTCTCCCGATATGAGAAGTCTGCTTCAGCACTAAAGATTTTATATGTATCCCTTGTTACGATTTTTCGAGACAAAAGGGTTATTGCTAGATAAATGTCTCCTTTGAGTTTCTTTATTGTGTATATTAAGTGAATGTATAGTTTGAGTACGATAGTTTGTGTGTCCTTCGATGGAAAAACGAGGTCTAAAACCCCGGACTGGCCAACAACATGAACAGTCAAAATCAAATTTGTTTATTTTGTATTTTTTTATTTTGATTTTCCGCCGATGTTTTTTTATTTGATTTTTCTTTAATAACAATGACATAAATGTTTAGAGTGATCGACAATTCGGAGAACACAGTTTTTCACGGCGACTTCTACATGGAGTTCTGCGACGATGTCCAGCAACTTCTCCAGGCTTATTTCCGAGAGTTCAGCATCGAGCGACTCGACGAACCGTGGAGAGCGTTCACAGGGAGCTGGTCGGACGTCACCCTGGCTCGCAACCTGGGCTTGAACGTCAGCTACGTCGGCAGCGGGCACTGCTACGTCCTCCTCAGGCTTTCAAGGCACAGGGACTCGGCTTACCTCCCTGAACACTTTGACTTGAGCACGGTCACCCTCCAAGACTCCGTCGCCGCGCAGGCCGCCAGGCTCAAAGTCGGAAATGTGCCTAGTGTCAGGGATTTTGTCAAGAATTTTGGATCTCATTATGTTAGTTCGTACGTGACTGGAAATTCCCTATATCAGGTAAATATAGGATTATATTTGTATAGTGTAAATATAGGATTATTTTGGTTTAAGTCAAAAATATCTTCGCCTTGTACTAATTTCTCCACTTCTCTCCCTCTAACGTTAGATTACACGTTAGATAGATAAACTAGAAGGTGAGGATGGCAGTTACATTTGAAATAATGAGATAAGACTGTTGAAAGATAATCATAGCTTCCTTTTCGATCTTTTGTTATATTGTCTGCTTTCAATGTGTTATGAGAATCTCAGGTTGTCAAAAAAACAAGAAATATGGAGTAAAGCTAAAAATTTCTCACACTACTTTAAACTGGTTTTTGCACAACATTGCATCGGTTCCCAAGAGATGCCGACCATTTCTTACCAAACGTTGCACTTGAGCTAAAATTTTCCCATGGACTATTTCTTCAGCAGCATGTCCTTCTTGCGAGAAAGACTCATAAAAAAGAATTTCATTGTGTTTCTTTTTTACATGTTACCACCCCAAATTTCAATACATCGTATGTCATGTACGTTCAAGGCTACGGAAAAACAACCTCTTGATGATTCAAAGTTTGCGAAAAAACGTCCTGACATTTGAAAGAATTGTGAAGGAAGATCCACTCTGAGCTTCTTCGTAAAATCTCACATAAAATTCTAACAGCTGCGCCGGGATTCGAACCAAGAACCGCTAGCGTGGGCATACGAGTCCAGAAGAAAAATTTCTGGTTGTCCGTGCGGTGACGTTGCGAAGGGTGGAATAGATATAGATAGTCTATTTCTATTGATAGTCTATATCTATTATAGAATAAATAATAGATAGTCCGTTGGGTTAGGCTGGCTCCTGATGCGTCGCTCTTGATGTTGGGAGGTGGTTAATGTTTGTGTTGAACAGTAGGACCGTCCTTCCCAAATTATGGCATCAACAAAACGAGGTTCCATTCATAGGGCCAACACAATGAAATATTTCTAGGTCGTGTCCAACAATTTTGCACGCAAAACTAGGAAAAATTTAGGTTTCAACCATTGGTGTCCTTATTAGTCTATTAAAGCTCAAATTAAAGTCTAAGAAGTTCTAAGAAGTCTTCCTCATCAGTCGTCTCACAGGGTGGCGTTGTTCTTGTTGTTAGCTCTTAATGGTTATGATTATGAATTCTAGGGCTTGATTTATTCCCCAAGCACTACAGCCTTCTGGCTTATTGTAGGAAGGATTTTCTAATTCCTTACTTCAGACCACTCTACTCGATCCTTCAGCTAAGGAGTAATGGATCATTGACTGTCGTTGCTACAATTCTTTTCCTGAGATGTCTTTGTATCCCAAGTTATGTTTCTCCTCCACCTTTGAGCGGTTGCTTCGCATTCGAAGATGATATGGGTTTCTTTCTCCTCGTTGCATAAACTACAAATGACCCCATTATTATCCGTGTTTTGCAGATGTTTTCTCAGATGCCAGTGACCGGTATTCTTATCACTCCTGTGAGTTTAGCCATGTCTAACTGTAGCAGTGAACTCACTTGCCAGTCTTAGTGAGGATAATTTTGTGTACGTTTGCTCTGTCTAACAGAGTTCCTCCAATTTTCCTTTTGTCTTTTTTTGATGCATTCTGTGATGGAGGATTCTATGTTTGTTATTGTTATCCCAAGAATAAGTCAAACAAATCCTCCTCTGGCCAGTGTGTCTGCTTTTCGTTACCCAAAATTCCCTTTTCTCGTGGTACCCAATATCATCTTTTATTTTTCTTTAATATGTATTTTATATTTTTCTGTTTATAAAGGTAATGTTTACAGAGTCATGCTCATTTATTTTAATTTTACAATTTCTTGTCGATGATTCATTAATACTTTCCAATAATAGACTGGGCACGTCACTGGTGTAAAACAGAAACAGAATTCGTCCTAGAACGCTTCCCTGGGAAACTCTATTCAAGTTGTACTGGGCTGGGAAGGTTTCTTAAAGTTTATGTTGCCATCAAGCTTTGTCAAAAACTTGAGATTCGTTTCTCTTGTTCAAAAAAATATGTAAAATTTGCGGTGGAAAATCAACCTCGTCTGCTTGTTCTCGCTGTGCAGTTTATTTAGACGGTATTAGCAATTTTTCCATCTGTAGCAGCCTCTCGAGTTTGTCCAAATGTTTGTTAACAATAATATTTAATATTAACAATTCACATTCAAACCTTAAAAACTGTTTGTCTGGTTTGTCGAGAAAAGATTCTTTTTTTTTTGTAAAATCCACGGGCGTAATGTTACATTTCAAGTTTAAAAAATGCTTAAATGTGTATGGTGAAATTTTATAACATAAAATGGTACAGAATACTGTCTTTATCTTGGTTTATTTATTTGTATTTATTATTATCAAAAAAGTCCATGGGACCGCGATGGTCAAGTGGTTAAGTCGTTCGAATCATACAATATTTACCTTGCTAGTGTCCTGGGGTCAAATCACGCCATAATCCTTCTTTTAATTAAGACTAGCGACACCCAGGGGGTAGTTAAGCCCTCCAGGATGACAGAAGAACCGCTGTCTAAGACAAAAACTGGGTCGTTTATATCACAATCGACCTCGTACTATTTACATTAACAGTCGGCATAAATGGTGCTTCGTGCTAAGGCATTTTAATTGTATTCAGGGGCACAGAGTGAATACAATCGATAATAATTTCACTCTTAATGCAACGAGTCCGGATCTAAGGCGAAATCGCGCGGGATGGAGATTTAATAATTGACCCCTCACGGGACGACATTATTCAAATACTTTCTTCCTGATTTACCAGGGTGTAAGAGACTGGGCTAAATGAATAAATATCGTGAGAGAAGCTTCTTCAGCCCTTGGGAACCATTCCATGTATACCGTGTATAAATCACCAGGAGGATTTCTTCCCCTTTGTTCTAGGATTCGGAACCACAACTTCTCACAAAGGCCTAACAGATGGTTTTTTAATGTATTGGTCTAATTTTAATATTAAGCTTCGAAATTCATTTCCTTAATTTCGGGCCAGAAACTCCTCCATTTCCGAATGGATCAAAACAAAACAAAAAGGAGAAATAGAGGAAGGAGGTGCCATATAGACGTACCAGACAGTAATCATGGTTAAAGAATCCTCGCTAAAACAGGCAAATACAGATAGACAAAGTATCTTCGAATTTCAACGGTTTATGTTTAATTATGTTTGCACATAACTACAATAAAGAAATATGGAAATTAATTTGAAAATAATTTACTATTACTGCATTATATAAAATTGATTGATCAATTCTCAAACCAAATTAAATACAAAATTTAAAAGTTTACTTATTATAACCTAAATTTATCAATTTAAAGAATCTTTTTCTTTTAGTAATTTAATATATTGTAAAGCATGAAATAGTTATTACCATTTTAACAAACGTGTAATAGCATGAAATAGTCATTATCATTTTAATAAAAACTAATAATGTAAAATGTAATTAGGTAAATATGTGATTAATAATTCTCAAGAAAAATATAACTTAATTTACAAAATTTAACTAAATTAAATATAACTTATTATAGCCTAACTTTATGAATTTGAAGAATCTTTTACTAATTTAATGTATTATAAAGCATGAAATAGTTGTTATTATTAACAAATGTAATAATATAAAATATAAATATTTAACATGTCTGGATAGATCATCAGAATCAGAACACCGATCTACTGTCAACCAATTCAACATTGATGACTACGGCTGAGTAGATCCCAGGAGTTCAGTACGAGTTCTACAACTCTTGTAGAGAACAAGACAGCCCACAACACCTGAACTTCTGCAAACTTTACGTATCTCAAAATCCAATCCCAACTCATTGCCACATTCATTAAGCAGTAATGCTCCACCTCCAACATCCGTCGAAGACCTTGCGAAATATCCTACACTGAGGTAATGTAATCTCTCTCCATAGCAATGTTATCGTCAAGGAGAAGAGCTTTCATCCAGCAAGAAGTTACTGGACAAAGAAGAACTTCCTGAGAGAAGAATTCGGAAGAATCAGGAAGAGATTGCAATGGCACATCTAGAAAGTGGAATAAAGATTCATCAACGTTAAAAAAAAATTGGATGGACAAACTATGAATGTCACAGCTGAACTTAAAAGCAGTTGGATTCCTACGATTATCTCTCCGAGGAACAATGCAGCAACTGTCATTTACCCACCAGAACTGAAATTTTTTTCTTTTTATTCTTTTTCTTTTGGGCAAAAAAAGTCAAAGGAGTAATACGGCTAAACAGACTTAAAAGAAGAATCAATCAAGTTGAGTTGAAGGAAATAAGAAAGTTCTCTAAGTCAAAACCTGCAGTGCTTGGGAAATCCCAAACTCTTGTAGTTCCTAGTATCCTCCTCATAATCAGCCTATGAATTGAGTATCACATTGACCATTCGAACCATCCAATTTTCGAGAAGCATCTCCAGGTTAGGTAGTTAATCGCACGTGGTTCAGTTGCCCTCAAAAGATTTATACCAAACGATCGTGGACTGATTTATCTTCAAGAAATATTAATACATTTTACATCCGATAAGGTACTGGTTAATTGATCTTATACCTTCAATCGATTGCCTCTCTCTGAATATTTACCTATGTCATCTAAAACTAGATATCAAATTAAAGCTTATATATATATATATATTATGCAGGGTGGGCAACCAAGACCCGAGGGGTTAAATGCCTGGGTAGACTCGTACCCCATCCCTAAAAGGTCCGGGACTTGGTCGGTTCACTTGTCCTGCATAAACCTCTTGGACTTGTTCACAAACCCCAAGATTTTGGACCACTTTATCTCGGGGAGTGATTTGGTGATGTCCTCTCCTTCAAAGATTTCAAACCTAGCAAACCTATCACACACTGCGAGGTAGTGCCTTGCCGTTTCTACTTTTATTTCGCAGAAGCGGCAAAAGGGATCTGGTAAAATAACCATTACGAAGAGGTGTCTTCTCAGTGGGCAGTGGCCCGTCAGGATACCTATCAGCCTCCTAATTCCCTTCCTTGAGATAGAGAATAGCCATTTCGATTCTACTGGTTTGATCGCCTTAACGAACTCTTTCGATTGCCTGTGTCCGGGGGATAAATTCCACTCCCTAAGGGATTGTTTCATGCCTCAGTTATTGATACTCTCTTTCGCTGTGCTCATAAAGTGAGGTAATACCGGTTGTGGCCCAACAAACGCAGTATTAGAACCTTCTTTGGCTAGGCCATCCGCCTTTTCATTGCCATGGTGTCCTTTATGTGCTGGTATTCAAATAAGGGTCACCTTATTCTCAAACCTGAAAGAGATCCTATTGATAAGATCTACAGTTTCCTCCACCAGTCTTGAGGTTGACAAATCTTTTTGTGATGACCTAAGACTAGCCTGACTGTCAGAAAAGATTTTAATATCTTTTCCCTTAATTTTATTTTCCATAAGTGTTCTACAACACACATTGGCCCAGATTTCCGCCTGAAAAACGTAGGTGTTATTGCCAAGAGGGGAGGAGATGCTGATTCCTAATTTTGGTATGTAGATTCCTGCACCACTCCCTCTTCCTTTGATAAGTGATCCATCTGTGTAGCAGTCTATGTTACGATGGTCATCATCCGGATTGTAATTATAATCACAAGGGGTGACTACCTGAAAGTACTTTTTCCCCGAAGGGGTTTTAATCTTTTTATCACTAACGCTTAATAATTGACCGTTAACCTTACTCAATAGTTGTGAGATTTTCCAGTGACCTATGTTGTTGCACTTATGATTCCAACTGCCCTCGCTAATTAGTCTGTAGCAGCTGATTAGTGCTCTGACCTTAACCTCAATGTGAAGTGGTGTGGTATTGGTTATGATTTCAAGTGCTAGGGTGGGTGTAGTTGAAAATGCTCCTGTCATCATCAAACAACCTAGTCTTTGAAATGACCTTAATTTATTACTATTCCCTTTATTTTCTAGACCTTTCCACCACACTAAAGCTGCGAAAAAGAATCTAGGTAGAATAATTGCAGTATATAGCCATTTGGCTACCCATGGTTTGATGCCCCATGTTTTACCGACAATTCTCCTACATTGTACCATTGATATAGTGCCTTTCCTGTATATGTTATTAATATGACCTTTCCAATCAAGTTTCCTGTCAAGTGTCACACCAAGGAATTTGATGGAATCCACTAACTTTAATTCTATGCCCTGAAATTTAGGGTTTTTAAAATTACCTTATGTTCTTCTCCTGTTAAACATTATCAATTCTAGTTTAGCAGGATTAATTGATAAACCTTTGTCACAACACCACCTATAAAGCAATCCCATGGCATTTTCCATCAATAGTGAAAGAGTCAAGGGTGAGCATTATGGTACCATCATCTGAAAATAATTGACTGTAGAAACCTGAATTATTCAGAAGTTCTATTAAGCTGTTTACTGTAATTAGCCATAAAAGAGGTGACAAACAGCTTCCCTGTGGAAGCCTCCTTTTACATTAATTCTAAGAGTGCTACCACCTAAGCACATATTGACCATCCTCCCCTCCAAGTAGGTCTTCACCCATCTAGTAAGGTGATGGTCGACATTGTAATTATCTAATGCTGATATAAACTGAAGCTTACTGAATTGCGTTTAACCCATTTTTTGCCGATCAAGGGACCCAAATTTAGTTACAAGCTGAGAAAAAGACAGAGAGAAAGACCGAAATAGAGAAAAAACAGAAAAAGAGTGAAAGTCGGAACGAGAGAGAGGCAGAGAGCAAGTGTGAGAGTGAGAGAGAAAGGGAGAGTGTGAAAGAGAGAAAGACAGACAGACAGAAAGTGACAGAGCAAAAGAGCAAAAGAGAGAGAGAGAGAGGGTCAGGAAGCCAGAGATAAAGAGCGAGGAAGAGCAAGATATAGAAAACGCACGAAAGAGAGGGATTGAGTAAGAGGAAGAGATGGAGCGGGTGAAAGAGAGCCAGAGTGAGAGACATAAAGACGGAGGGAGGAGTGGTAAAGCGAGACAGCGAGAAAGCTAGAGAGATAGAGAGAAGAGAGTAAGAGAGAGAGAGAGTCTCTGTGTCCGTGAGTCACACACCACCCAATACACACTCCTCACACTCACCTTCTTTCGTTTCAGGTCAGCCAGGGAACATCTCTGACTACTACCCTGTTTAGGGCGAAGTCCCACAGAGATCTATCTTTGGTCCCATGCAGTACCAAACGTACACCAATCAACAAACACCCCGTCCCCTCAAATCGCTACCTACAAGCTCAGCTTTGTAATATAGAATCTTGTTCAAAAACCTGTGGGAGACGACAGGTTCAGAATTGTGGGAAGTATGGCTCTATCGTCAGCCAATGTGGACGTAGCTGCTAGAGGAAATGTTGAGGTAGTGTCGGTATAAATTTGAGTAGATGACACTAAGATGAGAGAGAGTGCATAGCCATATCGTATCCGGCTGATTGTTCAGGTCAGCCAAGGAACATCCTTCTCTGGCCTTGCTGAGGCTGGATCTCACAGAGTAACCCTTGCTCTCAGTATCCAACATATACAGCAGAGGTCTCTACACATCTCGAAACACCCATTCACGCATTTTGCATGATCATATCCTCCCCCTTTCACATCGCTCACCTTTTCAAGTAACTTGGCTGAAAAAGAGGCGTATACCTAGGCTACATCATATACATTCTTATCGTTAACCTCTATAAGATGTATAATTTTTAATTTTGTTGTGCAAATCTTGACAGATTTTTTCTGGATTTTAATATCTGAGGAAATCAAAATTCTTTCATGTATGCCATAAATCGTGAATCGTTCCGAACCGAACAGGAAGAACGTGGGTGGAAATCGATCGCCCTACTACAAGTCCTTTGAAATGGAATAAATACAAGGCATTTTACCCTGTCGCCTTTTTTTCGATATCCGGCCAGGAAAGAGCGCCCTGTCCGCCGGGAAATTTGTTTATAAAAACCACGACAAAGAGAACAATATTGCCGACGGGGGTTGGTGGATTTGACAAAGGGACCACCCTGTCAAGGGAAGACATCGTTATTAATATATAATTAGGCTGTCATGTGAACGATGCACATCATTTATTTATTATTCAGAAATGTTTTAGTTTTTCTCTCTGTATCAGAATAAATAATGGCTCAGAATATATCCATCCGTGGTATTATTTTATTTATTTACAAAAAATTTTATTTTAGTAAAAGACAGTATTTAAAAAATGCAAAGTGATGCGCATAAAACACAATAATTAATACATGATAAAACATGCTTAATACGTGAATGTCATTAAATTTTTTTAAATTAAATTTATTTATTAAAACTGGTCTTATTAGACCAACCATTAATTTTACAATAATATTATAGAATAAATAAATGTTTACATTCTTATAAACCCATTGGTACAATCAGATTTACATTTCACTATTCACTTTTAACTACACAAGTTCATATGGCTTTGTTCTTTTTAATCTTCTGACCGTGTTTCGGTTATTCTCGTGCTGGCTGAGGCGAGCCTGGTGTTTGGCGGCAAATCTTTGTATTTCCGCCGTGACTTCAGGGATCTTAAGATACCTATGTAAGTCCTTATTCCTTATGTACCAAGGTNTTTAGTATTTCTCCAGTGATAAGGTCATATCCTGGAGTCTTTTTAGCAGGTAAATTTTTAATTTCTCGTGCTACTTCTGTAGGTGAAACTAGCTTTATATTTTCTTCTTGTGGCGCGTTACTTCAAGTAAGCTGCTATTGATGATTTCATTTGGTTTGAAGATTTCAGCAAGGTAACTAGCAAACAATTCGGCTTTTTCTCTGCTATCTCTCGCCCAAGTACCATCCTCTTTTTTTAATGGAGGAATTTGGGCGATTGGTCTTTTAATTTTTCTATGGCCTTCCACAGCGAGTATTCAGTGACTTCGCCTGGAGTTAGATCTTCTAGATAATTTGTGATTGAGTCGTCTTGTAGTTTTTTAGCTTTCGTTTAAGTTTTTGAGCCATATTGTTAAGAATGTTTTTGTCTACAGGGTCTCTTGATTGTTGCCATCTTCTTCTAGCCTTTCTTTTCTGATTTATTAGTTCTTTAATTTCCTTGGGGTAGGTTAAATGATTAAAAATATTATAATTATTGAATTATTATATACTACACTCAGATATTCTCTCAGATACTCAGTATCAGACCGATACAAGCCGGCCTCCGACAAGGGAGTATTTTTGGTCCCATGTTATATACCATTTGATGTACTTTCCTATCCTACAACCATTATTACAATGCGATTCTGTCTTTTAAAATCAATCTCATCCAAGCAACATATCATGAACACCTCGGCAAAAGACTGGTGCATACATGAAATTACAACTACAATACAATTATGTCAGAAATAGTCCGAACTCCTCGCTCCTTTGTAAGTGTTTCCATTCATTTTTTTTCTCGTGCTTATTTGCACATTACATGAACCTTACTTGATCCGAACACTACATACAAACATGCGCATCACAAAACTTTAACTCACTCACTCGCTTTCATTGATTCGTTTTTGAGTTTCTTTACCTACGACTCTAAGCGAGAGAGAGAGGGAATGAGAGAGAAAGAGAGTGAGTGGAAGAGATAGAATACGAGAGGCAGAGATTGATTGATTGATTAATGCGTTATTTATGCGTTATTAGTCGCAATGGTTTGGTCTTACATTTTCTTCTTTTTGATGTGATTCTTACATCCCACGAAAGAGCGAGAAGAAGGAGTGAATGTGAGATAGAAAAAAGACTTTTAAAAAAAGCACAAATTAAAGCCAGAGAGAGAAAAAAAGAGGGAGAGGAAACAAATAATTAACATTTTGCGTTAAGGAACAACCACTTCAACATAGTCGATGAAAGTTGTTGTAGTTTGAAATAGAAAGTTTCGAACATTCGGATTTTGGCATGCAGTGAATTCAGAATGTTAATTATTTACATAATATTCTATGCTTAATTTATTGTCAATTATGTACACGAAGCTTTAAAACGTTTTTTTTTCCCGGCAATTACCATTTTTAATAATATCCTTCTGTTGTTCTGCAGGTGCTGGTGTACACCCCGGCCGTCTACAGCGAACTTAAAGAAAAGCTGCAGAACGCAGGCCTGTCGGCTCTGGAGTCGAAGGAGATAATAGACTTTTTCTCGCCGCAGAACGCAGAGCATTTCGGCCTGGTCCTGGCCGCCAGTGGAAATTCAACCCTCGCCCAATGGGCCCAGTCATCCCTCAGCGGCACCTCCTACTTCATCAAGTACTCCAGCCTTTTAAAACTGAGAGGAAACATCAAACTACTTAAAGAATTAGATTCACTTCTAGGAAACGAAGCTTTACTACAACTTAGTCTACGTACACTCGCTCCCGTCTTTAAAGATAAGTACAAAAGCGATTGGTTTGTCGAAGTCGTTGATAATCACCTGAAACTGTGGGAACTAAACATGTGATATATGTTTAAGAAAGATGAATAAACGGCTACAAGTTTAAGTTATATACATATAAGAATAAATGTACACACAAGAATTATTATAAATTTGTTTTGTTTTGTTTTCATTACTGAAATTTACTTTTGCAATGTGAAATAAAAACACTCCAAAAGAGTTCTTTGTTCTTCTATGCCTCCCTATTTAAAAAAGAATTGTGGTTTTAAATGAAGCAAAACAGCAGCCAAAACCTTGCACGTGTGGTTCATTCATGTGTTATTGAACTTTGTATCGTAATTAAATTTCACATAGTACTTTAAATGACTTGATGGCTCTATGAACTCTTGAGAAAACCGCTCTTTCTTGATCTCTTCTTGATAGGATCAAACTCGTTCAGTGAAATGAAGCAAGTCCTTCAATCCTCAATGAAATGAGAATCAACTCAGTTGGCCTGAACTAACTGAACTATACAACTAAGAAAGAACAATAAGCCATAAGGTGTAAGTGCTTGGAGAATACAAACCCCTCGCTTCCTAGTATACTTCTCATTATCAACATTAATACTTCTCATGGTGTAGAAAAACCCAGATTTCAGAGGAAAAGGAATTGCAGCAAAGAAACCTACCACTTCTTAAAACAACGATCGAGTCAATTGAACTGAACTAAGGGGCACAATAAGCCATAACGTGTATGTGCTTGGAGAATACAAACTCCCAGCTTCCTAATACACTTCTCATCATCAACTTTAATCCTTCACAAAGTGTGGAATATCAAGACTTCCGAGGAAAAGGAATTGCAGCAAGGAAACAATAAAGCCAGAAACACACTTATCCGATGCTACGCCATGCGACGCTAACCGATGCTACCCGACACAAATCAAAACTCCGATTTTCCATAAGGTTGCATTACCCCCGTGCACATCTACCCGATGCTATGCCACGCTAACCTACCCGACGCTCTGCGATCCCCACTGTCCAGATTTTCGTCGGGACGCATCGAGTACAGTCGAAGACAAAAGAACCGGACACTCATATTTTTATTCAAACTACATGTATATTGTCGTTATATTAATTACAACATACTTATTTCAATATAAACCAAATTAACTGTGATTAAAAATTAATTTTAATGGTTTGGTAGAAAATTAATCATAACACGGAATACGATTTTTTGATACAATGGATTTAACTAACAATTTATTGTACTCGCTTCGGCGGTACGTATACTAAAATTGGAACAATTTATTACACGGTTTTGCTCATAAAATTTAATTAACAATTTATTTCATAGTTTTGCTCGTAAAATTACACCATTTTGTAATGTCGGGTAGCATCAGAACAGGACACTCATATTGTTTGTAGTTTATTTCAAACTAAGTATATGTAATTTTGTCGTTATATTAATTACAACATGTTATTTTAATGTAAACCAAATTAAACGAGATAAAAAATGCAAAGGTTTTTATAAACATTGTTTAATTATGATGGTTAGGAGTAACTTTATTTAAAACAATTAAGTTTAACAAAGATGATTGTGCTCATAAAATTTAACTAACAATTTATTACAAGGTTTTGCTCAAAATAGTGCATTAAGAACAAAAGATGCGTTGCGATTGTGATAGTGATTATTGTGATAAACGCTGTGGACTGTACGCGACGTGTGCTTGCGTCGGATAGATGTGCACACCCCTCCAAAACGTGGCAAGGCGTCGGGTAGCGTCGCATGGCGTAGCATCGGGTAAGTGTGTTCCTGGCTTAATCTGCTACTTCTTAAAAGAACGATCGAGTCGACTGAACTGAACTGAGGAACTAGGAAAGCACAGTAAGACATAAGGTGTAAGTTCGTGGGGAATACCAAACCCCACTCTTTCTAGTATACTTTTCATCATCATCTTTTATTAATCTGAAAGGCCCTAAATACAAAAGCTACAGTTCCCCATAAATAATTCCACCATAGAATGGAATAGACTGTCAGGTATGCATGAGTTGCATAAAATGCACAGCCTTTTCCGACCTTATCCAACTTATTTGTTTTTGGAGTCTTAATCATCCGCTCTTCTTAGCGTCTTCCTGGATATATCGTTCCAATGTAGGTATGGTTGATAGTATTTACAAGGCAGGTGGTTTGTTCTCATTGTCCCTGTGGTGCATACATTTACAAATCTCAGTTTAAATTTTAAGTAGATTGGTTTTGTGGATATGCTTTGTTGAAATATGCCACTTTTGGCTTTACTACAACTGGTGAAAAACGACAGACACAAAAGGTAATTTTCTTTGATTTAATTGTTTTCAGTACATTTTATTGAACGATAAAATGAAACGTTAATACAATGATTAAAATTAATAATAATGAAATTAGAGGTGAGACAATTCAAGCTTTTCACCACCTCTTAAAGCTATCGAATGGCATTTTCATAACACACCATTTTGTCTTTACAAATAGTAAATTATTACAAACTATTTAAATAGTTCAATATGACAATAAAGTTGTCCACTAATAACTAACATCCTACTAGAATTATTAATGTTTAAAGACAACATACTAATATTATGCATAATAAAGAATTATTAATGAATAAAAGAACGTCATTCACAGAATTCTGGAGGCACGTTGCACGATATGGTCTTTGTCAGGGGTGGACATTTCCTACCACCGTTGAGCGGTCGCTTCTAAAAAAAATAATAATAATAATAACATACTAGTATGTTTAACGAAATATAACAAAATGTAAAAAAAAAAATTGAACCCATGTTTAAAATTTACAAATACCCTTTAAATACAAATCACCCAAAATAACCATTTTGGATCTGAGCACAGCCAGTATATCTTCAGTGCAGTAAGGTAATCCTATTTTGGAGGCGGAATTTTGTCTCGGCTCCTATGGCCCATTGACAAAAACACTCTGACATGTATATACACTATCTTTCGACCCATTATCACCCAAAAAAAAGTTTAATTAAATCGGTAATCCCACGTCCCTCCCTTTGTGTTTTCTTTCAACTTGGCCTTTTCCTTGATTTTTTAATGTAATATTTACTTAGAATGGAGATAATGTATAAATGCACTTACGACTATTTTCCTGACTTTGGTTTTCGTCCCATTGACGCAAGGGCGGCAAGGGCTCCAGGATGTCCAGTTGCTGACGACGCAATTCCTCTTTGGTCCACTCGGTTGACTGTCCGGCTGTCTCACTAAAATACGTTTTCATTTAAATAATTTATGTTTGATCTAAGAAAACCCATTGCTTTTTTTGTGCAATAACATATACATGATGTTAGGTTAGGGTTAGGAATGTAATAGATTAGGTTAGGGTTAGAATTGGTGTTAGGAATGTCTTAGGTTATGTTAAGGTTAGCGTTGAATGTTTGTTGAAAAGAGTTGAAAACGGTTTTATAATTTAGTTTTACTGTAGGTCGGCTTCGAAAATGTCCTACCTACTGGCGTCCTATACTGGAAATATAATAAAGACAAGAAAGAAAATTTTGAAATTGACGGTCATTTTATCAATGATCTTTTTTTTTATTCATTTATTTTATTTCATTTATTTATTTTTTTTTTATTCGTGATACCTAAATTGAACGGCCTTCAAAACTCTTGCAATATTAACATGTGGAAATAACTGCATTCTTTATGGCCCATCTGGGTCATTGCTAGATACCAGTAAATATCTGGTCTTTGCATCGGAATCACAAATCAGAAAAAAGAGCAAGTTACCGCCTGATATTATCATTATCATTATAACATATTTCCTAATGTATGTTGTTTTCATTTATTTACGTAAGTTTGTTATCAGTACCTGCACATAAAAAATTGACGAATTTTAACTTTAAGGATTTACCTTTAATGATCTGTAATACAATCTCCAAGTTTAATGATTTGGGAAATTGTAACCTAAACCTAAAATTATTTGTTAGTACAATATTATGAACATAATTTTAATTTCAGTAATGATATCAGTGAAATGTAAAGCAGCATGCCTAGAGAGACCCCCTAATAAGTAACCCAGGGCCGGTTCAGTACAAGTTGAGTTAGGAATTAGATTAAGGTTAGGGTAGGGTAAGGAATGCAATAGATTAGGTTAGAGTTAAGGTTTGAGTTAGGAATGTGTTAGGTTAGGGTGAGAGTTAGGAATGTGTTACGTTAGGGTGAGGAACGTGTTAGGTTAGGTTCGGTTAGAGTTAAAAATGTGTTAGGGTAGTTTGGGATAGGGTTAGGATTAGGATTAGGAAAGTGGTTAGTTCATAGTAAGGAATATGTTAGTTTAGGTTAGGTCAGGGTTAGGGTTAAGAATGTAACTGGTTATGTTGGATTAGGATTATAGTTTTCTTTTTTATAATTCGTTTATTTTCTAACATGTTCCATATACATATTAAATCTTATTCAACTGCGCAAAAATGAATAGGGATAGTTGTAATTTATTCTTATGGTATTAAATTTAATTAAATTAACCCATACATTCTTGTTAGTTGGATAAAACAAAATAGAAAATACAAACCAAAAACAAACAAATGTTAATCTTTATTTTTAATAATTAATAATAATATAATAATAACTTAAGAATAGAGAACATGAAAATTGCTCATTTGGTAAACAAACACCTTTTCACGTCTTTTCTCCATTTTAATCCTGTTGTATTTTCTTTAACCATGGAAAGGCATCAAATTGAACTAGAAGTTCACAATATTATTAAGGGAGGACAGAAATACTGTCATTGCTGCAAGACGAGACCTTTTCCATGGTGGACATCGCAGAGGGTAATGGATCTCAGGACAGAAAAATTGTCATTGCTGTCGTTTCCATAGTGCTCGCCAGATCCTAAATGAAGTACAAGATGTTTTGGCAAGGCCTTTATCCACACAAACGATTCGTAATCATTGGGGAAGTTGGCTCACATCGTATGTTCCTTTGAGATGACCTACAACAATAGCCTGCCACCAGCAACGCATGAGAGAATGGTAGAGGGATGCCTAAAGACTGGAACACACATACCCGATACTACGCCATGCGACGCTACCCGATGCTACCCGACGCCTTGCCACGTTTTGGTAGGGTGTGCACATCTATGCGACGTCAAGCGCACGCCACGTACAGTCTCACAGCGTGTATCACAAATCAGTACCGCAATGCGTTATTTTGAGTAAAACCATGCAATAAATGATTAGTTAAATTTTATGAGCACAGCCATGTAATAAATTGTTAGTTAAATTTAATTGTTTTAAATAAAGTTATTCCGGTGTTTGATCAATTTTCTGCCTAACCATCATAATTAAATAATTTTTATAAAAACTCATGAATTTGGTTTATATTAAAATAAGAATGTTGTAATTAATATAACGACAAAATTACATAGTTTGAAATAAAGTACAAAAAATATGAGTGTCCTGTTCTGACGCTGCTCGACGAAAATGGTGTAATTGTATGAGCAAAACCATGAAATAAATTGTTAGTTAAATTTTACGAGCAAAACCGTATAATGAATTGTTAGAAATTCATTATATCAAAATTGATATTCCAGTGTTTTGATCAATTTTCTACCAAACCATTAAAACATTTTAATAAAAACTAACGAATTTTTGATATCGGTTAATTTGGTTTATATTAAAATAAGTATGTTGTAATTAATATAACGACAATAATACATGTAGTTTGAATAAAAATATGAGTGTCCGGTTCTTTTGTCTTCGACTGTACTGGTTGCTACCCAACGAAAATCTGGACAGTGGGGATCGCAGAGCGTAGAGTAGGGTAGCGTTGCATGGCATCGGGCAGATGTGCACGGGGGTAGTTCAACCTTATGGAAAATTGGACTTTGAATTTGCGTCGCATGTTGCATCGGGTAAGTGTGTTCCGGCTTAACAGATGGTTTTTCGATGTATTGGTCTAATTTTAATTTTAGGCTTAGAAAATGTCCGAAGTATTCGTGTATCGCATCTATTGGTATACATTTCAGTTGTTTTCTAAATCCGGTACATTAGGCAAAACGAACATATGTAAGTGTGTTCCCGGCTTAAAAGAGAACAATAATTGGAATGCTGTTATGTTTACTGATGAGTCGTGTTTCTGTCTGTACAGTCATAGCAGATATTCCTGGAACTCACAGACAGATCCTCTACCTGGCACATCCAGATCCTCTATCTGGCACATCCAATCTCTCGGAATAGGGCTAAAGCCCGGGAGACCACCCTCTTAGAAACGCCAACTGCCTCTGCGATATCCACTTTCCGGTGACCTTCATGACCACATTAATACTGCGTATTTTTAAAGAAAAACTTGCCAACGAGCCTTTTACATCGAACAAGACAATAAAAAAAATTTCTATTCTTTTGGGGTTTGAACTTCTAGTTCAATTTGATGCCTTTCCATGATTAAAGAAAATACAACAGGATTAAAATTGAGAAAAGACGTGAAAAGGTGTTTTTTTACCTAATGAGTAATCTTCATGTTCACTATTCTTAAGAAAGTCCGTTATTAAAAAAGAGAATTAACAAATTTATTGTTTTTGGTTTGTATTTTCTATTGTGCTTTATCCAACTAAAAACAATATATCGGTTAATTTAATTTAAATTTATAGAATAAGAATAAATTACAGATATCCCTATTCATTTTTGCGAAGTTTATACAGCTATTATTATTAAAATTAAAATTATGTTCATAAGATTTTTAGTAGCAAATAGTTTTAGATTTATGCTACAATAAAGCATGTAACTCGGCTACAGGTCACGTGCCGAAACAGAAGCCCTTCTCTTTCATAAAACCTCCAGTCCGTCAGTGTATGTACGAAGCACTGGTATGAAAGGATGAAAAAATTTATCCTCGTGGAATTGGAAAGATTAGGAGGAAGATTCGTGGGATTATAGATAGAGACATGTTGGCTTACAAGATTCAGTGTTTTTCACAGACGTCGGATTGATTTTCTCTGAGAACTCATTCCCGCACTTTACTTTGAAGCTACAATTTGTCAGGTATGGTTTTAGTATTAGGATAGGAACATTAATTTGAAGAGAAATACTTTGTCAAAATTTGGGTCATGAGGTTGCGATGCTTGGATTATTTGGATATTAGATGGCTTAGATTGATCATAACGATTCCGTCGGATTTCTGATGATAGGAACAGTCAACCAACTGTCAAAAGTGGCTATTAAGCTTTATGATGATATAAATCGGATCGGCTGGAAAGAGGTGATCCTTTTCTGGACCGGGGATTTCGAACATCTCATTAATTTCTCCCAAGTGCTTAAGCGATCAGAACCGATTGTCAGTAATGGGTTACGTTCGAGGATCAGATTAACAGTTGAAATCCCATCGCTTTTAAAGCCAGAATGTTGAGAACAAGTGGAAATATTATCAACGAATTGCTGATGTGCATTTATGTTTTTGAAATTTCTCGAAGAAGCATATGTAAAAGCATAAAACTTACCTTCAGAGCATGTGTTCTGGCACTCGTCCAGGGTCAGGAAATTGTTTCGGTTTCCCCTGCAACCTCCGTAAATGAATTTCTCGCACGTTTCTTTATTCTTGTTGTAAGCCCATCTCATGAGAGTCGCACGACAAGGCCCATTTTCAGCTGGCGAAGAACAAATTTCTGGGAAAAAATAGATCAAAAATTAAACATTATTGATTAAGTATTTTTATCGTTAATTACAAATATACACTGAAAGGCGTTCCAGGGCATTTTCTTGGCAATTAAGAGAACTTTTTTTATTTTTTAAATTTTTAATAAACTGTAGGATTAATATTAATGGCACATGGGCGGACAGTTTTTATCCCCACTCCTCCTCCTAGACACCCCCACCACTGGTCGTCGTTCTGACGTCTGACAATGAGACGACTCCCCCGATTCTTCATCTAGGCTGTCGGGTCTGATTAGCCATATGACGTCATTGGTTTTTCTAGCTCCATGGGGTTAGAACAGGGTTGAGACCACCCATTTTTTACCGTGTAACGTCATTGTTTTCATCTAACATTATGGGGTTTGAAGATGGTTGTGACCACCTATTTTTTACCATTTGACGTCACTGTTCTCTTTCTTCCACCATCAGGTTTTACGATGGTTATTGTATGTAGAATATCATGATCTCAGAAAAGGAGACTTGCACGGGCATGTTAGTCAACGTCGAGACGTTGTAAATTTGACCAGGAGACGTGCATGTTTGTCTACGTATAACCCTCTTCAAACCCCAAGGTGCTAGACGGAAAAAACAGTGACGTCACATCAGAAAATGGTGGTCACAACCCTCGTCAATTATCGTGATGCTAGAAAAAAACCAGCTATGTCACACGGCAAAAAGGGGCGATCAGTACCCTCATCTTACCCCATGGTACTGGTAAAACAACCGTGACGTCATATGGCCCATCCAACCCGACGACTAGTGGTGGGGGTGTATGACCCAAGTGCCACCCATTACCAATAGGGTCATGCTCTCACTCCCATCCTCCCGGTTAACGCTGGTGGCTGGTGTCCACCAAAGTAGTTCCTCTACTCATATATATATATATATATCTCACTAATCAACTAATTAATTCAACATGCTTTTACATAAATACATTTATTTCTGCCATATCAAAATTGTTAGTAAAATATTAGAAATACCTTGGATGTCTTTTTTCTCTATTGTGCATTCTGGGTTGTCGATGCAAGGGAGAACCTCTTTGAGGGTGACGGAAGAGCAGAAGCTCGGGGCAGGGCTGTTGACAAAAGACCTTACGCGGATCATTTCGCCTTTTCCACAGGTCTTGGTGCAGGTGCTCCAAAGGCTCCATTCGTTGACACTGCACTCTCTTCGATTCTGCAAGACGAACGGGGTTATAATCAAGGAAACGAGCGTCGTAATTGAACGAGAAGCACCTTCTTTTCGTTGGCGAAGCAAGGCGGAAGCATACATTTCGTGACTTCCATCAACGCGATGTCCGAACATTTTTTAAAGTTGCTGTCGTCGGCCTTTTTGAATTGTCGTTTTCTCAATTTGCTCCCTATGCCGCAGGTGACGCTGCACTCGGTCCAGTTCGACCAGGTCGTCACGTCGCATTCTCCAGGCACGAACACCAGCTTGTCTTCCTCGTCTCCCCTAAAGCAATCGATAGCATTTTATTTATTCCGTACGAAGAGACGCAGTGTTAATCGAAAGATAAAAGTGTTAGCAAAACGACAAACTAGTGCATTTTCCAGGCGAGCGACAATTTGGCATACGTACGGGCATAACTCGGGTTCGCCGACGCACATTTCTTTTGATATGAGCTGACGTTTGCAGTCGGCCGCAAGAGCGGCATCGGGATTTTGGTATTGTCTGGATCTCATCCGAAGACCTTTTCCACATGTTACAGAACAGGAACTCCACGATGAGTATTCAGTCACCTGGCATTCCGCTAAAATAAAAAAAAAGTATGTCAAATCTTTCAAAGAGATAAGTCGATTTTATTAATTTGTTTAAGTTTCATTTATACCTTTACATGAGTTATACGCTTACAAATTGTTCTCTGTGATATACAACCCAGCAGAACTCTAAAACTACGGCCTACACTGCTCTCGAAGGACACGTATTATAAGAAATCAGCGTACACCAGAACTATGACTCAATCTAATGTCGGACTAACGGCGATAAGTTCTCGGGGCCATCGTTACCGGAGAATGCATATGGTTTTGCTAGTTTAGGTTGGGTTAGTTTAGGAATGGTTAATATAATGGGTGAGTGGGCTTAGGGTAAAGGTTAGGTTGGGTTAGGTTAGGTTAGTTTAGGAATGGTTAAGATTTGGGGTGAGTGAGATTAGAGGAAAGGTTAGGTTGGGTTGGGGGGAATGGTTAAGATTAGGGATAGATGAGGTTAGGTTACGATTAGAGTTTGGCTATGAACGTAGAGCATCACTAATTGGGAAAGCGGTAACCAAAAGCTCAAACTCATCGCTCACTTGAAAACCGTCTTAGCTACCAGCTGCCCGAAGTCCTAAACTTCTTAACAGTGGCAACGGCTTATACACCCACTTTGCTCGACCTGTTGTCGGTCTAAGGGGAGAGGAGTTCTCGGGATATAGTAGAGAGTTCATAGGATGGGAGGAAGTAGCAATAGAAGGTGGTGAAATTTAAAGAAGATAATATTAGGACCATTTAGGATATTTAAATTAGTGACGTTGTTAGAACCTTGGAGACCACTTCTATTGACTTTGGACTGGAATCCTTGGTTTAGTTAAGTGGACAGTTTGGTGGTACATCACAGCTCCATCTAAGTTAGATGAGTTTGGACGGTCAAAATAAATTTCAATCCTAAGTAGTGATCTAATTTAATTTAATTTAGTCAGCTGTACAGTCCTAAATTATATAACTTGCATAGATGTCAGTAGTTCCTCCATGATGACGCCTCGCAAAGCATCGTGAAAAGTGCACTACGATTTTTCCACGTGGTGAAAATAATGTTTAAGTCCTTATGTATTTTTGCAAGAACCTATGGGCTTAAATACATTTTCACCTCTATTTCCATCCTCGCTGTTGTCAGTGATTGAAATCTCTTCGAGCAGTTCATTTTCCGATAGGTCCGAGCACAATTTTGGTATGATCTTTTCTTGGGTGATAACCAACTTCGCCAACGAGGGCATCTCCTTCCCTTCGGGGTCGTAAAACGGAGATCGTTGGTCGTCGGGGTAGGAGCTCGTTATTTTGCTTATTCGCTCCTGTGGTTCCGAAGCCGACTTTATGCTCTGAAAAACAACATGGCAAAATGTGTTAGAAACTATTCAACCACGAGTATGAAATAGGCTTAAAAGTTTCATTATTCAATGTTTAATATTCTAGTGGGCTTAAATAGTACAGCCGTTCAGTCAAATTAGCCATACGAAGCTTTAAATTAACGATTTTTAATATAGAATTAACCGTTTTTTAAATTTCAAATTAACCCCCTTTAACTTTAAAGTAACTTTTTAATTTCAAATTAATCCCTTTCAACTTCAAACTAATCTTTTTAATTTCAAATAACGCTTTTATTTTTGAAATTAACCTTTTGTATTCCAAATTATCCTTTTTAACTTGACGTTAACTTTTTTAATTTCAAATTATTTTTCCTTCTTCGTATTAACCTTTTTAATTTCAAATTAACGCTTTTTGATTTCAAATGTATCCATTTTTAATTTTTAATTAACCCTTTCTCACTGAAAATTAGCTTTTTATTTCAAAATAGCCCTTTTAACTTCATATTGCTTATTTTTAATTTCAAAATAACCCTTTTTAACTTCAAATTAGCTCTTTTTATTTTAGTTTGACCTTTTTAAATTCAAATTACCTGCTTTAAAAATTCAAATTAACCCTTTTTAACTTCAAATTACATTTTTTAATTTTAATTAGCCATTTTAAACTTCAAATTAAGCTTTTTTAAATTTCGAATGTTTTTTTTAATTTTCAATTACGCTTTTTTAATTTCAAAATAACCCTTTTTGATTCAATTCATTTTCTTAAATTTCAAAATAACCCTTTTTAACTTTAAATTACCTTTCTTTGATTGTAAGATAACCCTTTTTAACATCAAATTAGCATTTTTTAATTTCAAGATTTTTAACTCCAAAATAACATTTTTTTTAAATTTCAAACAATCCCTTTTTAACTTCAAATTAACTATCTAGTTAAAGTATTACATATATTTAAAAAAATTCAAACGCCATATTGTCACAATTTGATATCATCTCTTAAATTTTAAAATACTTGAAAGAAAGGGTTACTTTGGAATTTAAAAAAGAATAATTTGAAGTTAAAAAGAGGTTGTTTGAAATTTTAAAAAATTTAAGTCAAATACTAAAAGCTGAACACGTTCATTTTTGATTTAACTTATTATTTTGAAAATATTTAACATATTTTTCTCAACCGATTTTGAAGAGTTTTTCGCCATTTTTCGTAAAACTGAATGTCTAAGCTGTGTAGTATTTTCAGAAAACCAGTAACACCCTGAACTGCTATATTTTTTATTTACTTTTTTAAAAATTAAATTAAGCACTAACCATATAAGAAATACCATTGTCCGTTCCAGCATCGTAAGGATAAAGGTCCAATTCTATTTTTTCCTTCCATGTGCACTGTTTAGAGCAAAGATCGAGCGAAGATACTCCGACGATCCAGTCCGGTGAAGGGCCTTTTATTATTTAAAAAATAAGAGCATTATAAATTATTTGTTTTACTCCATCGACATAACTTACCGAACATGGAGGCCAGAGAAACCAAATGGTGCTTGGCGTCGACTCTGAACGTTCCAGTCATGTTTCCGTTTAAATTTGGATACCAAAGCCCTGCGGATTTAATTAAACTTTTCAAGTGTTTCCCCTGAAAGGGTAAATATTGATTTAGTCGTAATCAATCGGAGAAACAGCGCTTATACTGACAGATCTTTTCAGTTCGACTTCCATTTCAGAAATGACCCCGAATTCGGCCAGTTGTTTCATCCCGGGTGTCGAGTATCCACCTTCTCTCCACATCGTAAACTTGGGGGTGTGGGACGCCCCTATCAAGTCGGAAAAATGGGTGAATTCCAACACACGGGGGAAATCTTTCGGATGTCGCTCTGGTGACCACAACCCTTCAAATAGAAACTAAAAAAAAAAGAGACAGTAACAATATGGACAGACACGCCTAGAAAAATTTCAAGAATATTGAAAACTATCAGGTCGTTCGTAAATTAACTTTGTTTATGGACGATTAAGACGATGACAATCAAATCATGACTAGTTGAAGCAAGCCCGCGTACAACATGAGAAATCGCATTAAATTTGTCAAATTCAACAGTCCAAGAACACCTGAAAACACTTGTTTCCAAATTGGATAAATGGGTTTCCAAAGGGAGAGTCTAAAAAATTGGCACAGGATCAACAGTGTGAATTGCACCATTAAAGTCAAGTCATAACTGACGATGAAAATTTATTTACAACAACGTTAAATGCAAGAGGTCATGGAGTTTAAGAGATGACAACCATGTATGGTAGATGTCAGGCACCCTACACCAAGGAGGAGTTGGCGATGGTAAAAGAGAAGCCAGAAGGAAAAAGAGGAAAACTGATTATTAAGGCGCGAGCTTTCCATGTCATATTTGAACCATGACAAAGAAATTTTGCAATTTCTACTTCTACCAGACAATTCTACGTTTAGTACTGAAGTCCGCAGCCAATCGGACGAACCGGATGATCAGCCAAAACGGATCGATCGAAAAATCGTTGTTTTCAGCATGATTCCAGACCTTACACAAGTTTGGTCCTCCGTAGAAATTTCTGCAGTTTGGATAACTGCCCCAACTTGCCAACATAATTTGCCCCAACGGGAAGAAGTTCCAGTCCAAAAACAAGAAATTAATTCAACTTATGACGGCAAAATTTACTTATTCTTTCAAAATAAAGATCCAAAGTTTTACGAATGCGACTAACAGCATCTGTGGGTGTTTCCACTTCTGTAAATATTCTAAATAATTTATGTAATTATTGTGTAGCTCTGTAGTGCGTATGTATTCGGCCCACTCGGTGCAAAAAAAAAAATCACCTGGTACTTGGCGTGGTCGCACGGACAGCAGCTTTTCTCATCATTCTGACTCTCGACCTTAGCGCAAATCGATGTGTTGGTGTACTTCCACCTGCCGCCTATTTTCACAACCCCGCTGGAAAAAGAAGAAACAATTGAGAGATTTTAAGCCAAGCCATTAATACAACTAATAATAAATATAAAAAGTAAACAAGAAAACATAGATAAGTTTGTCGAAGGTCCGCTTGTCCTAGTTCTTTCGGTCATACACATTCAGCTTTAATCGGATAAATAAATCCACGCCTTAATCAATCTGCCATTTATATTGTCATTTGAATTCTGGATTAAAATGGCTTAAAATAAAACCGCATCCGTTTTATCTTTTACATAAAACTGCACACGACCTTTTAAATTAGATAGTGCTTTTTTTCTTACTTGACTGCAAGATATGGGATTAGATAAGTTCGTTTTCCGGAGTTCAGCATTCCACGAAATAATCTATATCGTTTATTTGTTCCTTAGACATTTTTTTTTATTATCATTCAGTGCATTAATAGAAGACGGGATATCGCATGGGACGAAAGTTCCAGTAAAGTCCCGCAAGAAACTCGTCTTCATACGAATTTTTGGAATTTTCTTATACGCCGGCGACAAGAATTAAGTACACACTGGTTTTTAGTGAAACAAACACTTTTCAAAAATACTAAGTCCTTTCAAATTGCGTTACTTCGGTTGATGCCTCTTCTTTTTTTTTTTTTTTTTTTTTTGGAAAAAATTAACAATAAAAAGTAGATAATTCACGGTTCTTGATTAAATAGGAAAAATATTACAAAAAAATTAATACTAATCAACGAATAATTGCTTACTCGTCTATCCTCTCGTTAGTCTATAATAGACGAGATGTTCAATTTTGATTACACTGCTGACAACAGTTCGTCAACCCCCAGACTGGATACAAATTTCACATTGGTAATTATTGTTATTACGGTGTTTATTGTTATTATTTCGTATTATTAACTCGGTTTTTAATATTAAGTTTTTTTGCATATTATTTTATTGAAACGAATTTTTTTTTTAAGAAGTGAATTTTATTAAAATATTAATTTATTTCTTGAACTTTCCACCATTTTTTTTAAAATAATTTCTTGACTGTTCTATTTATTTGTGTGTTATTTAGAGGCTGGTTGTTCAATAATTTGTTGAAGTAGAGAGGAGCGATCAGGAATGAAGTATTTCAAATAAATGAATTTTATTTTTTTTGCTGACGTTTCGACCTTTATTGGGATCATCTTCAGGGCATAAAATGTGTTGCTATTCTTTCGTATCGTGTGTGTAGGTGTGAAATAGATTTGAATTTAAACCAAGTTTCAAGTGTTTTAATTGGCATTTATCGTTACTGCATGTAACAAGCCTAAAATAAGTCATATTTATTTAACATCCAGAAATAGTTAATCGAGAAAATTCTTAACTTGGTACATGATATCTGGATCTGCATATCCCTTGGATGTCGGTGTATGCAGCGGGAAATAAAAAACATTTCTTAAACTATGACTCACATTAAATTATGACAGCCGTGCATCGGCGAGACCCAGACAGCCTTCACTTGGGTGGCTTCCGAGAAAATATCGCTCTTTTGGACGGTGTTAAGACACTCATCGGAGAATTTGGTGTAGCCATCGTTGAGCAACTGAAAATTGCCAGCATCTCGATCCGTTTCCACGAATATCATAAAATCATCGAACGGGACTTTACTATTTAATTCCACTAAAATGAAATAAAATAATGAATACATACAAACATTCTGAACAAAATAAATTCTAAAAAATACTTATAGTTTAAATGGGTCTTTTGTATGACTCCCTCTCTCATTCATTCACATACCTGGTCATACACACTCTCTCTCCCCCTCATTCCCTCTATCCTCTCTCTCTCCTCATCTTTTACCCTTTCTATATTTCTCGTTCACTTTCACAGCCCCTCTGCTGCCTCCAGTTCTCTGCCCTCTGTATTTGACCAAATTCTACGACACTAAATAAAACTTCTCAATCACTCTCTCATTCTCTCTTTCTCTTCCTTTCTCACTCACATTCTTTCACTTACTCTCTCTCTCTTTCTCTTTCTCTCTCTCTTTCTCTTTCTCTTTCTCTTTCTCTCTCTCTCTCTCTCTCTCTCTCTCTCTCTCTCTCTCTTTCTCTCTCCCTTTCTCTCTCTTTCTTTCTCTTTCTCTCTCTCTCTCCCTCTCTCACCCTCTCTCTATCTAGTTATGATTGATATCTCAAATTTAACTTCTTTTGTTGTTTTGGTTTTTTGTTTATATTACTATTTAGTGAGTAATGTTTTATTTGTAGATTTATATTGGTGATTTACAATTCATTGGTTGTACTGCATTGTATTGAAAATTATGTTTGTTCACTTATTTTATTAGTAATTTGCCGTTTGATTGCTCAATTATATCTATTTCAACGAGCAAATTTAACGTTCTTCTCGTGTAGAAACGTGTAGAGATTAGTGACCGTTAATCGATATTTATTCAGATATCGTGAGATGCGGTCTGGTGTGATGTAGGTTTCAGAAAAACATTTCTCTTGTAGAAACGTGTAGAGATTAGTGACCGTTAATCGATATTTATTCAGATATCGTGAGATGCGGTCGGGTGTGATGTAGGTTTCAGAAAAACATTTTCTTTATCGTGCCAACGTTTCGATCTTTTATTGAGATCATCTTCAGGGCTCAAAGTGTTTGTCTTCTGTGTAATTGTGCCATCCTTGTGTGCCGTGGGGCACTCTCAACACGACACACAAGGATGGCACAATTACACAGAAGACAAACACTTTGAGCCCTGAAGATGATCTCAATAAAAGATCGAAACGTTTGCACGATAAAGAAAATGTTTTTCTGAAACCTACATCACACCCGACCGCATCTCACGTTATCTGAATAACGAGCAAATTTAAGTTAAGTTCAATATCAAACAAATAGATGGAACATATTGACCACTAAAATAAAGTTATTCGATGTAATTAATGTTTAATAGATTAGAAGAAAGTTAAACTTAGAAACTATTGTATTTCACATTAGATGTAAGAATGGTCCTTGAGACCAAATCTTGTGTGATTGATAAATAAAACGTTCATCATCATCATCTCACTCTCTCTCTCTCTCTCTCTCTCTCTCTCTCTCTCTCTCTCTCTCATTATTCACTCATTCATTCTCTCACTACTCACTGTATCTCTTTCACTCTCACTTACTAATTAGCTCTCTCACTCACTCACTTAACTCTCTCTCTCTCTCGCTCTCTCTCTCTCTCTCTCTCTCTCTCTCTCACTCTCTCTCACTCTTATTTTTTGCCAAATAATTTAATATCATGAAAGTCGTTTTAATGATAAAATAAGCCTTGCAATAGTCCAACCTGTGTACCGTGTTCTCGGGATAAAATATTCAGCGTTCCCTTTGATTTGGAGGTTTAAATTTCCTCTGCTTTCCTTCGCATCTCGCGGGAAGATCCTGCACTCACAGCTTATTTCACTGACGAGACAAGCGATAAAAAGACACGCCGCCCAACCGGGAACGCTAAAAAATGGCATTATTTTTAAATTTACCAAAAAAAAAAAAGAAGATTGAAAGCTACTATCACTGCTCACCACATTATACTGCGGTGAAATCTCTGCGATAACTACCTAGCCCTTGTCTCTAGGATATAATCTCTTAGATAAATCGAAGGTCGAAGGCCAGAAAAAGATGGAGTCTTCGTACTGGAAACAGCAAGCCTGGCATTTCTATATTTGTGCCTAGGACGATGGGTTGAAACAATTCCGAGTAAACGAAACAAGCGTATTTGAATATCTATTTGTGGAAAATGATTGCACGAGTATAACGCATAGAAAATTATTAGTAAATAAATAAATTTACTTTAGAAAAATATGCTTCTTTGTGGAAATTTGGACATACCTTTCAAACTAGTTTAACATTTCATCCGGCAAAAGTTGTACAAATCTCAAATTTTTCACCAACGTAACCTACGTACGAGGTACAAAAAAAACGAACCACCACCAAAAATTTCCATTTTACACCCAAAATATCTGTAAAACGACAAACCTTTTCAAATAGAGTTATCATGAAGCAAAAGACTGCAGCATCTTCATAATTATCTTTCTGCAAAAACGGCAAAGTTCATCTTATGAAATCATATGGAAAACTTCTTCTTTATAAACAGGTATTTAATGTAGATTTTTATAATTGAAAGATCATGTCCTGATTTCTGCCGCATCAACGTTTCTGCCTGTTATTTCCTTAGGGCAAACAAATTTTGGCTTAAAATGCGGATGTACAGCACGCTATAACAAACAAACTTGTAAACAAGGGTTTCCACAGAGGTCCTTTTTAAGCTCTCCGTTATTTGCTCCGTATTTTTATTTTACCGCATCTCGTTCTTCTAGACGTTGTTGCTGGCCCTTCTTTCATCATAGTTGGAAAATCGTCGAAATAGGCGAGAATACATTTTTCAATAAAACTAAGTACAAACAAAGATTGTTTGGCCATAGGTAGACTTTTCGCAACTGGAAGATCTTCACTGTTGAATTAATCTTATCTCCGCCTGTGCTTTACTTAGGGCAAAGTCATAAAGGCTCAAAAATGCATAGGTAGTATTATATACCAAACGTCTAAACAGGTGGTTTCCACAGGGATCCATCTTAAGCCCTCTGTTTTTTCCATGTACATCAATATATCTTCTGTTTTACTTCCCTTTAACTCCACCATTATGCAGATGATATAAATCTTTGTGCTAGTGATTTAATTAGATTGGCCTTTGGAACGAAAACGATGAGAAATAAGTTTTACTTCTTCCTCGCTCCTGCAAGCATCCATGAAACTATCAGCAAAAACAGCTACATTGATCATCACTTGAAAAATTGTCTCCTGATGGCTAGACGTTCGATGTGTATCATCAACTATCAAAAAGGGCCCATGTGTACCGGGGGAAACATGTTGCCGCCCCCACCTAGGGTTTATTTTCTGCAAATTTTTCAGTTTTTTTGTGGCTAGAATATCACGGATAAATGTGAGAACGCATTTTTTAATAAGAATGGAGCTGAGCTGTATAAAGAATTGTACAAAATTTGTAAACGAAAGGTTTCCACAGGGGTCCATCTTAAAGCCCCCTGTTATTTTCCATGTGCATTGATATTATCTCGTCTCCTTTCACATCCCTTTAACTCCACATTTATGCAGACGATATAAATTTTTGCATCATTGATTTAATCAGTGTATTATACCATGATCTTTCATTAGGAACGAGCAACATAAAAAATAAGTTTTATATCTTTTTCTTCGTGATTAAATTATTTTTACCGTTTACTTAAACTTTGTTTTTTAAGCTAGATTAGCCAATTAAAGATATTAATGTAAAAGTATCAAAATTATAGACTGTCAGTAAGAAAACAGCTCAAATTAGAGCTAATCCTAGGGAAATGTCACCTAATGCATAAAATTGGCTAACCATTCTTACTATGGCACATGAAGAGGAGATTGTCGAGGCATAACTGGTCGCATTTCTTTCGAGCATTGAAAATAGATATCTAATTGAGCTCAAATAGTTCACAACTTAAGAAAGAAACAGAAAAACTACCAGTGGGTGTAATGGTTTGATATTTGAAGGTCCTGGAGTCACAGAGTCAGCTTTACATCCTTGGTGAATCCTCATGTTTTCTGTAACAGTAGCTTCCACTTCGCAAAGTTCATCGTTAGTCTACCTATTGATAATTTATTTCCGTTTTGTCAGTTCGTCCGCCCCTCATTAAAAAATGTCGCGTTTACGACTCTCAACTTGTCATCGCAACATTGGTCCTCTGTCCTGCGACTTGGCAATGTTCGGTAAAGTAAAAGTCCCAATTAATCTTAAAACTCTTGCTTGAAAGAACGAATTCTTCAAAGAGTAACAGAAGCGTAGAAAAAGAAAAAAGTCGATATTTTTTTTATCAAAAGACTTATCAAAGCCCATTTACACGAGTTGGTTTTTTGATCGAACTAGTTTGACAAAATAAAAGGGTCGTTACAAACGTGTATAGCTTTTTACGTCAAATTACCCCATTTTAACATCAAAGTAACGCTTTTCTTGAAAGCTTTAAAAAAAACTTAGGAGATGGCACGAAATATAACGATCTAAGTAAAATCCCAGTAAATTTGCGAATTTGTTTAAATATAAAATAATAAGGCTCTTACAAGACCGTAATAACACTTTTACATTAATTATAATCAATATTTGAAAGTGAAAATTAATATAAAAATTGCAATTAAATATGAAAACAAATGATTCTTCTATTAATTCGAGATTTTTTATAAATATTATATAGTAATTGGTCTATTAAAACTCGTATTAAAGTTAATTATAATTACAATTAAAATTTTTATAAAATTAAATATAAAAAAGGATTCGTCTTTTCATTCGAGTTTAAAAAAATATGAAACGTATTCTTTTTTAAGGGAATAAGAGTATACCATTTCCGTTTGTTTAATCCTTTAAAAAAAGATTAATTTAAAGTTAAAAAGGGTTAATTTGACGTTAAAAGGGGTTTATTTGAAATTAAAACTGGTTTTTTGAAGTTAAAAAATTAATCTGAAATTAAAAAGCGTTCAGTTGAAAGTAAAAAAATTAATTTGAAATTAAAACGAGTTAATTTTGAAATTAAAAATTAATTTAAACTTAAAAAGGGTAAATTTGAAATGAAAAAATTAATTCAAAGTTAAAAGTGGTTCATTTGAAGTTAAAAATATAATTTCAACTTAAAAACGGTTCATTTAAATGTAAGAAATTAATTTGAAGTTAAAAATGGTTAATTTTGAAGTTAAAAATTAATTTGAACTTAAAATGGTTGATACGAAATTTCAAAATTAATTCGAAGTTAAAAAGGGTTAACTTATAATTTAAAAAATAATTTGAAGTAAAAGAGATAATATGACTGAAAAATTAATTCGAAGTTAGAATGGGTTAATTTGAATTTTAAAAGGGATATTTGAAATTTTTAAAAAATTAAAAGGTAAAAAGGGTTAATTTGATGTTAAAAAGAAATATTTGAAGTTAAGATATTATTTGAAGTTTGAAAGTGTTAATTTGAAATTCAAAAGGGTTAGTTAAAATTAAAAGGGCCTAATTGGAAATTAAACAGGGGTCATTTTAGTTAAAAAGGGTTTGCTTTTAAAACACGGCACGTTCAAATCCAAAAGGGTAATTTTGAAATAAAAAAGTAATTTTTCACGCTCTGAAATTAAAATATAAAACTTTCTCTTCCTTATTTTCGTTTATTTTACACGTTTTAGGGCCACCTTTAAATCCTTTATTTATTTTGGAGTACATGCCATTATGCAGTTTTATCAAGAGTAGTAATTTGCTGTATATACGCTGAAAAATCAGCCTTGTGGAAAGATCCAAGGAGAATCTCAGTGTCTACTGAGAAGAATCCCCTTAGATAGTATCAGCGCTGCTCTCTTCGGGATGTTTGGGTAAGCAAGACTTCCATATCCACTTACCTTTCTGTTACTCATTAAAAAATTCGTCCTTTCAACCAAGAGATTTTGGCCTGACAGTTCAGTTTTAAAACTTATTGGAACTTTTGCTTAATCGAATTTCGCCAAGGACAGAGGACCTATGTGGAACACAGTTGTAAATCCTAAACTCGATCTTTTTTAATGACGGGCGAGCGAACAGACAAAACAGAAATAAATTATCAACAGGGAATCTTATAACTAATGATAAACCTTGCTAAGTGGAAGCTGCTGATTCAAAAAACACGAGGATTCACCGAGGTTGTACACCTGACTCTAAGACTCCAGGACCTCCAAATATCAAACCACTACACCCACTGCTAGTTTCTCTGTTACTTTCTTAAGTTGTGAACTATTTGAGCTCAATAGAAGTATCTATTTTCAATGCTCCAAATCAATGTGAAGAGTTATACTACGACAGTCAGCTCTTCATCTGCCGTAGTAAGAATGGTTAGCCAATTTTGTGCATTAGTTGACATTTCCCTAGGATTAGCTATCTGTGCTGTTTTCTTATTGTGTCTATAATTTTGACACTTTTACATTAACATCTTTAATTGGCTAATCTTACTTAAAAATACAAAGCTTTCGGAAGCAGTAAAAATAATTTAAGAACAAAGAAGAAATAGTAAAACTTATTTCTCATGCTGTTCGTTCCTAAAGAAAGATCATGGTATAATACACTGATTGAATCATTACTGTAAAGATTTACATCATCTGCATAAAGAGAAAAGTGAAGTTAAAACATAAAATGTATTTAATATAATGGAAAATAACAGAGGAGTTAAGATGGACCCCTGTGGAAACCACCTATTTACCAGGTCCTCTTGTTTTGTGATGCAACCATATGTATCTTGAAGGAGTGATGTCTTTGCACTAATAAAGTACAGGCAGAATCATTGCTGCACACGTAATTAGGCAATCAAAAACTGGAAACAAGCAGAAGACGCACGCATGCAGAGGACATTAGGACAGAATCTTTTCCTTACAAAATTTACTTTGCTCAAAGAACATAGCTGTTTATGAAGATAAAGTTTTCCATATATAAAAAGATGTTTGCTTTTTTACCAAAATAAAATTATGAAGATTATAGCACAGACTTTTGTTTATAAGACAACTCTATTTTGAAAGGTCTTTTTTATAGATATTATGGCTGCATAATGGTAATTTCTCGTATTGGTACATTTTCCTGTGAAAATATTCATGAAAATTAACTTCGGGCAGGTTTGTGAAAAAAAAGAATTGTATTGCTTTTAGCAGAGAAAATTGTTGAATGTGATCATGTTTGATAGGTTTATAAAATCTAGAATCGCTTTTTTCCTAAGAATAATTTGAAAAATCCAAAATCCAAAGCAGAGCGGAATTGGTTCTGGGGAAGACGGGTCGTCGGAGGGAAAGATTTTTCCCTTGTAAAAAGGGCAACACTGTCGTGACCGGCGGCCGTTTGCGAGCGGGCTCGCCCCTCCACTCGAGTCGAGACTGGCGACACGCGAGGTAATCCGACCCAGTCAAGGTTTCCTCCTCGGAGTCCACCTTCTTCGAATATGGGTCTGGCACCTTGTCAGATATGGGACTGCGACCCATGGGCCTCCGTAATTCTTCTCCTCCTCGTCAGCCACTCGGTCCTCCCAGCACTTACAGACTCCAAGTGCAACCACGTACATCCAAAACTGGACGAAGTAAGTGATAGAGTGTGATATTGATTCAACTGTAAACAATTGATTGACTGGACGTCTCGATTTCACAATCTGACCGTTTGTTGACAAACTGAGAAAGCAAATACACACGACCTTTTCACATGTCCCTGGTTTCTTCCCCTTTTCCTCAGATTTTAACCTTGTTTTAGTACATTTTTCTTCGGCTTTTGTTTCAAATCACAGAGAGAATCCGTCCAAAATCAATCAAATACCGCCCCAGGCCGTACTCGAAAAATTATGACTCCTAACACACAGTGACATTGACATTTCGCATTCTCTCTAAAAGTTGACATTTACTCTAAACTCATAGTTATTCAACTTTTTGAAAAATTGTTGTTCTGCTTGCATCTCCAAAAATTTAAAATATTATACAGTTCGACTCGTAAACAATCATTTTTGGAACTTTTTGCCCACCTTTCATCGGCACATGTTGAGTTTGGACACTTTTATTGAAAAAAAAAGACAAAAAACAATGAGTTTATAAGTGTCTCGAGGATTGATAATACGGAAATTACTGTGAAATGCTAAGGCGTGTACTCAAAAGCACTAAATTTATTTATAAAAATATATACAGAAGCGTAAATATGTTTTTATTTAGTTCACATTGTTATAAAACCAATAGTTTCTACCAGTACAATTCATAGATAAATATATTGGGCAAGGAGAATCTTACACATCTAAAATTTATATTTAATTAATATATACAAGTAGAGAAATAGTTAATGTATGCTTTAAATACCTACGTGTCTGTCTGTGTGTGTGTATACACGTGCGTGCATGCACATATGTGATTGGGTACAAAGAGTTAGCGATGAGAGGCAAAAAAAGAGTTGGATGATAACAGACTGTAAATGGAGTAGAATGCCAATTAAAACTGGTTTTCCAACTCATCCCATCGAGATGGTACAATTTTTTAAAAAATATTTATTCGAAAAAACCGATGTCACAAAAAAAAACACATATTTGCTCCGTTACGTTTTTTCTTTTTATTGAAATCGAGGTTTTAAAATGTAACTTAACTTTAAGTCATCTGTTGCACTATTTCAGTCCGACTGATATCGTTCAAATTGCTCTACAAATAGTCTGTAACAGAACGATGTATCAAGTACATATCGTAAGCTATCTCAAATTTATATATAAATATAGATTAATGGAGAAATAGGTAGAATATATTTTAAATTCGCACGTACGTGTGTGTGCACGTATGTGGATGAGCACAGGATTTCGCAAAGAGCTACAGAAATTTTTTTTGGATGATACCAGACTGTAAATGGAATAAAATGCCAATAAAACTGTTTTTCCAATTCATCCCATCGAGAAGATACGATTTTTTAACAATATTCATGAAAAAACCGTTGTCACAAAAAAAATATATTTTCTCCGTTACGGATTTTCTTTTTTATGGAAATCGAGGTATTAAAATGTAAGTTAAATTTCTAAAAAAAAAAAAGCCATCTGCTGCACCCTTTCATTCCAATTGATTCAAATTAGTCTAAAACGAATTGTTTTAACGGAAAGATGTTTCAAGTACATATCCTAAATTTATATTATATTTATATATATGGACTACTGGAGAAATAGGTAGAATATCTTTTAAATTCGCACGTACGTGTGTGTGGACATATGTGGTTGAGCACGAGGAACGAGCTGTAGGAAAAACTTTCGGATGATACCAGTTTGTAAATGGAGTAAAATGCCAACAAAACTGGCTTTCTAACTCATCCCATCAAGAAAATACGATTTTTTTAAACTTATGGAAAAAGCCATATTTTCTCCGTTACTTTTTTCTTTTTATGGAAATCGAGTTATTAAAATGTAGGTTAAAGTTCCAAAAGAAGGCAATCTGTTGCACCCTTTCAGTCCGGCTGAATTGCTGCATTGTCGTTCGAATTGCTCTAAAACAAATAGTTTGTAACAGAACGATGTATCAAATACATATCGTTTGCCATCCCAAATTTATATATAAATAAATATGGACTACTGGAGAAATAGGAACAATATCTTTTAAATTCGCACGTACGTGTGTATGGACAAATGAGGTTGATGACAGGATTTGGCAAACAGTTGCAGAAAAAAAATTTGGATGATACCGGACTGTAAATGCAGTATAATACCGATAAAACGGGTTTTCTAACTCAAAGGTACGTTATTTTTAAAACATTTTCAGAAAAAGCTGCAAATTGCAAGAAAAAACGCATTTTCTCCACAACTTATGCATTTTAATTCGCAATTGAGGTCGATTTAAACAACTACATTAAATTTTCTGTAGTATGAGTCATATACGGAACGTTTTCAGACTTGCTGATAGCTTACTGTTAGTTTCCTTGACACAAACCAAAAAAGTTAACCATCTGAAGATAGTAAAATAACATTTGAAGAAATTTTGTCCAACTTTTATAGTGGACACATGTTGAATTTTAACTTTTTTTTGCAACAACGAGTTTTCGAATATTACAAAGATTTATTAACCCGAAAAACCTTTGTTCTTGCAATAAAAGAGTTGAAAATTCCACGTAGGTCGCCAAGTAAAGGTGGAAAAAGTTTCTTCAAGGTTTTGTTGGCAATTGTTCCTTTAGAATACGACTGTTTAACAGTAATTGTATAATTAATGGTAAGTACAATAGTATAGGAGGTTTTTAATGGTTTGATTTACCATACTCATTGAGAAAAGACTACCAACCGACCAAGCATACACTAAATGGTAAATAGGACAATCTTTCTCTTGCAAGTTTTTTATATTGTTTAAAAGGTGGAATGGGAATACCCCATTTTTCGGTCATTTTCATAGAAACCACCTTCTAGATTTACAATTTATGAGCCTTGTAATGATGTGTGAATTTCAACTTATCATAGGTTACGTAGCCTATTTGACTTTTTGATGTCTGTAGAAGTGACCACAAATCTAATCCATGAGCCTCTTTTAAATAAATATATAATACTGGAGAAATATTATATGTTTTTAATATGTACTTGTGTGTGCGTGCATGCAATTGTATGGTTGAATATGCGAGAAGTATGATAGACCGAACCCCCCCCCCAAAAAAAAAAAAAGGAAAATCAAGGTTTAATGTAATTACTACATATTTTTGGACTGTTAAACAATCGTTTTCTAATAGAACATAATTGTAAAAAAAAATGGTACGTCCGAGAAATTTAACTTTAACAGTAAAACGAGTAAACATAGTTTAAAAACGGGTTGTCCATCTCACCCCATCGAGAAGATCCGATTTTTTTATAGATATTTCGTAAAAAACTGAGTTGTCACAAGAAAAAACAAAAAACAACACATTTTCTCTGTCACCTTTGAATTTTTTATAAAAATTGACGTCGTTCTTAAAATCTACGTTAAATTTTACTAAAGAATGAGTCCTATAAAATTTAATCATTGAAGGATTTATCGAAAATTTCAAAAATTCCTTACCCTGGGAAGAAAATTCGTAGAAATCTCTAGAAATGATGAGTTTCGCAAGAACTGCTTCATTTTCTAATGGTATGTTTGGTCGAGTCGGTGATTCTTTTTTCTATGCTTCTGGTCCATCAAACTCCCCCAAAAAACATACTGCTTTTATTTTTAACCATACAGTTCATCTACCCTTAACAATCGTTTTCTGAAGAAACAATTGAAAAAAAAAATGAAAAGTTGGAGAAAATCTTTAGCAGGACACATGTTGAATTTTAACTCATGTATTGAAAAACAACGAATTTTTCAGTGTTCAGTTAAATTCGCGCGTACGTGTGTGTGCACATATGTGTGGTTGAGCACAGTGTTTGGCAATGAGCTGTAAGAAAAAACTTTTGGACAATACCAGACAGTAAATAGAGTAAAATGCCAATAAAACTGGCTTTCTAACTCATCCCATCGAGAAAATACGATTTTTTTTAACATTTATGGAAAAACCCGATGTCACAAGAAACAACACATTTTCCCCGTTACCTTTACATTTTTTTATAGATTTAACTATTGGATGATCTTATCGTATAATTTCAAGAATTCCCTATCCGAGGGCAAAAATTCCTAAAAATGGTGATTTTCACAAGAACTGCTCCATTTTCTAATGGTATGCTTGGTTGGGTCGATGCATTCTTTTTTCCATGATTATGGTACATCAAACTCCCTCCAAAAACCTATATTGCTAGTACTATTAAACATACAGTTCGACTACCCTTAAACAATCGTTTTCTAAAGAAACATAATTGTAAAAAAATCGAAACTTGGAGAAATTTTTTCCACCTTTTGTAGTCGACACATGTTATTCTTCAGTGCCCCAAATATTGTCAGTACAGAACTTATCTCGAAATCGAAATGCTCCATTTACATAAAAATAAATAAATAATACTGGCTAACGAAAATCCATGTAATACATACTATTTGTTCTATGGGGGCGAACAATTTATCAATTAAAGATCGTTGGGTAGCTAATATTTATATGTTTTAAATATGTACGTGTACTATAAGATGTAAAATAAAAAACTTTGTGGTGATGGCAGACTATATAGAGTAGAATGCCAGTGTGCCACAAAAACAGGTTTTCTAACTCAATCCGTCGAGAAAATAAGTTTTTAATTTTTATTTATTTTTATTTATTTATTTTTTTTTTTTTTTTGGAAAAATTGTCCTTGTCACAGACAAAAACAACACATTTTTTCCGTTACTTACGAATTTTTTGAAAAAAGTTGAGGTCGTTTTTAACATCTACTATAATTTTTTTTAAAGAATCATCTACTGAACCCTTTCACTCCAACTGATAAACGCTTCGGCGTTTCAAACATATAAAATTTTAACGTGGAGATGATCTTTGCAGAATTTCAAAAATTCAGTACGGTGTGATAAATTTTCCAAGAGATTGGCGATTTCGCAAGAACTGGTATGCTCGGTCGAATTGGTAAATCCTTTTTTTTTTTCTACGAGTATGGGTCAGCGGACCCAAAAAATTACTATACAACTTGCTATTACTATAAAGTTCGTTTTTCCTAAAGGAACA